CCTCGCTGCATCCCACACCCATCACATGAGAAATAACATCCCGTCCGGGTGAGAAATACCGATCACCTTGCCCTTGAGGGGCCCCTCTCCGAGGAGCCAGCAGAGAAGGTCCTGCTATATGATCCCATCTAGCCCAGCAAGAAGGCAGGGGGGCTCTGGGGACCAGAGGGATAAAGCCTGAATGAACCCCAGTGAGGAATAAACCCCCTCCCCAGTGTTGCAGCTGAACCCACCCCAGCCCGGGCGATGGTGCCTCGTCCTCCCTCTCTCCCAGGATGGGATCCACTCGTGTCCTTGTTCCTTCCAGGAGAAGAACAAAGGGACAGGGGGAAGGCCCCTCCTGCCCTGCTGTGCTGTTGCCCTGTGCTGTGTCAAGTGTGTCCCCACTGTCCCCCTGCCACCGCGCTGCTGTAACCGGTGGAATAAACCCCAGGAGCTGTCTATGCATTCCTTCCTCTCCTCGAGCAGTGCTTCTCCTGAAGAAAGGTGTTGGGGCTCCCCGGGGGGCTGGGGGGGGGGGCAGAGCACCTCCCCTTTACAGGGCAGGTGGGCAGGGCTGGGAGCTGAAGGCAGAAATCCCCTTGGGGCATCATCCAGACGGGCCCGGGTGTTTTGCCACCTCCTGGGCTGCAGGGAGGCTCTGATCGGCTCTTTGGCAGCAGCCAGGTCGGAAAAAAACCAACCCCACACCACAACAAAACCCCCTGAGATCTCACAGATTTTGGGAGCTATTTTAGTCAGAACCCTTCAGCTCACTCACCAGCTTCCCCAGCTCACGGGCACTGTGGGATGTCCCCGGTGCTGCTCCCAGCAAGGGCACAGCTCTGCAGGGAGGACAACCAGGGTAAATCCAGGTGGGACTTCCAAGCCAGCTCCAGCCTGCCAGGATGCCTGGGGAGCAGTGGGCTCCTGCAGCAGTGCTTCCTGGAAAGAACCTGGCACAGGCTGGGAATTTACTGCCCCAAATCCCAACGGAGCAGATTAAGGGTGATTTGCTTTTGCAGGGGTCATCCAGGAAAATGCAGGGGAGGCTGCATTGTTACTATTCCTATTGAAGCAAGGATGCTGGATGAAGCCATGTCCTGGGCTGAGAAACTTCTGGGATGGCCAGGAGATGGTTTTCTGCCCCCAGCCCTCCTGGTCATGCCACAGTGGGGCCAGGGAATCCTCAGAACTTCACGGCACCCTCCAAAGTCAGAGGTTGTCTCACCTCTGGGAGGAAATCGCCCACCACTTTGGCTGGCAGGATGGAGAGATGGAGGCAGCTCAGGTGTGATGGGCACCCACATCTCCAGCCTCTGCAGCTCCAGGCTGGAGCCCAAACCCAGCCCCATGGAGCCCTGGAGGCTGGTGAGAAAGGAGAGGGAAGATTGGCACAAGCTGCTTTGGCTCGGAGAGGAGATCATACCTGATGAGGATCAATCCAAGCTCATCTAATCCCCCCCAGGAAAGGGATAGCAGGGAGCAGGCACCAACCCAGCCAAACCCTCTAGCCCAGCTTGGCTTTTAAATCTCCAGCCTGACCAAGAAAACACCCCGGGATCCCCAACTGGAGCAGAGGGACAGAGATGGGGCTGCAGCCCGATGGTGTATCCCTGGGGATCCCCAGCCTGGACCCTTTCCCTCCCCTCTCCCTGGACCCTCAGCTCTGCTCCGTGCTCCCTCCCAGCCCACGTGCCACCAGGCAGAGGCCGCGTGAAGCTCCACGGGTTTATTTTTGGAGGCACCACCATGACCCCCAGGCATGTGAGGAGCGAGCAGCACGCGCTCCCCCCGCTCGCCTGGGCAACGTGTTGTGGCCCCAGCAACCCCCCTCTTGGCCAAAAAAACCTGGCCAGCTCCAAGGATGCTCCCAGCCCTGTTCCCATCGCTGGCCTGGAGCCCATCCTGGAGGGGAGAAGTTGGGATGGGGGGCAGCAGGGCCAGGCAGCCCTTCCTTGCCTCATCCCTTGCCCATGGAGGCACATCCTGTTCCCTGGGAATTCTGGGGCTCTGAGGGAATGTTGGGACCCTGAGGGAATGCTGAAGCCCTGAGGGAATGCTGGGACCCTGAGGGAATGCTGGGACCCTGAGCTCTTCCAGTCCAACCCAGCAACATATGGGCTAAAAAGACAAAGCAAAGCATTAGGGTGGATTAAAGGAGAAATAATCTCGTTTTTCTCTCTCCCACACCGAGTAATTCCCTCACCTACAGTGCAAGGTTTGGGGTGGATTTAGCCAAGGCAACCCTTGCTGGAAGCTCCAGCCCCTCCTGCCCCAGCCCTGAAGCCATGGGACCAGATCTCCTTCCTGCTGGTGAGCACTGGATGACACGAGAGGTTTCCCAACGGGCCAAGCACTAAATGAGCCCTCGTTAAAGTGCCAGAACAAATGAGCTGCCATCGAGGGACAGGGGGGGATCTCCCCTGAACGTTTCATTCTTTTTGTTGCACTCAATTAACTCTCCCTTCGAGCTGCTGCTGCTGCAGGGAGGGATGTCCTCACCCTGCCCTGCCTGGCTCCTCCGTGCTGCTGATCCAGAGGTTGCCATTAATCTGGATTAAAGAGCATGGGGGAGAGCCCAGGAATGGCTCTGCAGCCTGACCCAGCCTGCCCTCACCAGGCTTTCAGGCCTCACATCACCAAGGAGCCCATGGGCTGGCATGAGGAGGGGGACAAACCCATCTGCCAGCCCCCTGTCCCCTTGCTGGGTGACAAACCAAGAGCCACCTCCTGTCCCCTTCCTAGGGGACAAACCAAGAGCCACCCCCTATCACCTTGCTGGGTGACAAACCAAGAGCCACCCCTTGTCCCCTTCCTGGGTGACAAACCTAGAGCCACCTCCTGTCCCCTTCCTAGGGGACAAACCAAGAGCCACCCCTTGTCCCCTTCCTGGGTGACAAACCTAGAGCCACCTCCTGTCCCCTTCCTAGGGGACAAACCAAGAGCCACCCCTTGTCCCCTTCCTGGGTGACAAACCTAGAGCCACCCCATGAGTGATGCTGGGAGACTCTGGGTTGGAAGAGCCCTTTGCAAAGGGTGACAAACCCATCTGCCAGCCCCCTGTCCCCTTGCTGGGTGACAAACCAAGAGCCACCCCATGAGTGGCACTGGGGGGACCCTGGGTTGGCAAAGCCAGGGGCTGGAGAAGGAAGGACCCAGCACCCCTTCCAGCTCTGCTGGGACACCAGGGGCACAGCTGAAGTGGAACATGAAGGCAGATGTGATTTGTCTGCACCAAGCAGGGGCTGGGGGAGGGCTGGGAAAGCTCTTGAAAGCCTCAGGATATAATCTCTGCTCAGAATTCATCATAATAATAATAATAATAAAAAGAGACAGAAAAATGCTTGTGGGGATCTTCCCAGGAAGCTCAGAAAAGCACCTGATGGGGCAGGATGTGGGAGGGCTCAGCCCACCCCCTGTGCCCCACAAGCCCTCCCATCCCCGCTACCAGCCCAGGGCAGGGGGCTGGCCCAGGGGGTCCCCACCCGCTGCCCCAGGCTGGGGAGAAATGGGGGTTTATGTCATTCTGGTTGTTGTGCTCGGGGGAGGGAGGGCACAGACACATGGACAGACACACAGACAGGCACACAGACACAGACAGACACAAACAGACACAGGCACAGACAGACAGGCACACACAGACAGGCACACACAGACAGGCACACACAGACAGGCACACACAGACAGGCAGGCAGACAGGCAGGCAGACAGAGACACACACAGAGGCACACACAGAGGCACAGGCACACACACACAGACACAGAGACACACAGACACGCAGACAGGCACACAGAGACAGGCAGACACAGACACACACACAGACACACACATATAAGGATGCAAAGCAAAACCAAGGTCAGACCCTGCCTCGCCTTCCTCCTGTCCCCAGGGAGCACGGGGACGAGCACCGTGCCAGGCAGCACTGGCAGGAGGACAGGAGGGAACACCCCCCCAGCTCCAGTCCTGGGTAAGAGAACAGGGATGAGGGTGCTCAGCCCTCCTTGATGGCTCCAGGCACCTCGGGGTGGCTCCTGGGCTCAGCTGGAGCCCCACGCCCAAATCCAAGACGAGGGGAGGTGGAGAACCCAGATTTATTAAAGACAATAAATTACATTCCCTTGAAACACAGCAGATTGTGTGAAAAGTCCCTCGTTTTGCAGGCTGGGGGGGGGACGTTGCCACCAGGGGCAAGGAACTTCTGCAGGGCTGGAGATGGTTCCTGGGAATCTAATTTGGATATTTGGGTTGTCAAGAGCCCTGAGACACAGAGCAGGCTGGACACCCAGGCTCTGCCTTTGGGGAGGGATCCCTGTTGGTGGCTGTGCCACCATCCCTGAAGGCACCTGGTTCCTGCTCCCGTTTCACTCCAGGCCTGCACCCCTGGAGGAGCAGGTGCCACCCAGGAACCCCCGCTGAGCACGGGTGACACCTCATGACACAGATGTCCAAGGGGGTCAGCACCCACCAGACCCCAGGGCGGGGAAGTTTGGGAAGCTGCAGCCTGACCACCCCCCTCCCCTAGTGCTGGAGCTTAGGGGGAGCAGTGGTGGGTGCAGAGAGGTAGTTGCTGGGTGAAAAAGGCACCCAAGAGAGCAGAGGGTGGGCGTTGGGTACCATGTGTGTCCCCTCCCCTCTGCCTGCTGCCACCACCCACAGCCTGCAGCTACCAGGGGGGGTTTTGGGGGTGCTTCTGCACCACTCAGGGGTCTCCCCAGAGAATTTGGGAGGCAAGATCCCACCCAAAAGGCTGGCAGAGGGGAGCCAGGAGCTGGATGCCAGGAGAAAAATACCCAGCCAGGCAGAGCAGAGGGAATTAGAGTGGAATAACCTGCCCCCCGAGGGCAGGGGAGGCTGCAGCAGCAGATGGTGGAGGCAGGGCTGGCAGGGGACTCTGCCCACTGGGAAATCAGTGCCCAGGGAGGGGGGCAGATGGCTCTGCAGACCCAAGGTGGAGCCCCCGAGGACTTTACCCTGATGTGGTCAGGATGGAAGCTTTGTCCTTCCTGCAGCCCTCTGGCTGGGCAGGGCAGGGAGCAGCATCCCATCGGCTGGTTCCTGGGAATCACTGCAGGGTGCAGGCTGTGCCGGGGACACAGGACAGTCACTCCCCCTCAGCCAGCCCAGCTGGGCTCTCCCCGTGCCAGGGGGAGAGGAAGGGGTGCAAGGGAATATCTTCATGGCTATGGAAGCTGTAGGGATATTCCCTGCCACAGGACACACGGCCACGAGGTGGGGACACATTCCTGGGGGATGGACACAGGGACTCACCACTCCGGACAGACTCTGCCAGTGCCTCCTTGCCCATGGACTGTGCTTCCCTCATCTGCCAAGGGAAAGGAGTGTTTTCCAGCCTGGAAGCACCTCCCAGCACACCCCAGAGCCCCCCTCATCCCCACCCAGCAGCTGTACCTTTATCTGATCTTTCAGGTACTCAGCTCGAGCCATCAGGGTCTGGATCTGGTGGAGAGAGGGGAAGGTCCTTTCCAGGCTGTGCCAAGGGGACACGTTGCTGCCCCTGGGCTGGCACTCACCTCAGTGTGGAGCAGCTCCCGGCGCCTCCCTGCAGGCTCAGCTGGGCAGGGAACAGGGATGATGTGCCAGGGATGTGCCAGGGATGTGCCATCAGCCCTGGGCACAGGGTCCAGCCCCAGCCCCACGCGACAGCCCCAACTCACCAGCCAGGAGCAGCAGCAGCTCACCCAGGCACTGCTGGTACAGCTCCAGGGTGTCACCATCATCTTTGCCTTCCTCCTCCTGCAAGAGATCCCAGGGCTGGGCTGTAGCTGTGGGGGGGAAACAGACTGGCTCCCCCCCTCCCCAGGGGGGTTTTCCCCCTCCCCTTCTGCTCAACAGGCACGGGGACCCCCAACCCCAGGCCTGACCTTAGCAATGGCTGCAGAGGCCATTTCCAGTGCAGTGCAGAGCCGAGGCTTGTCCTTGGCCATCTCTGCAAGAGGGGACATGGCACAGGGGAGCACCCTGGAGCAGCACCCTTCAGCCCCAAACCCCCCTGGGTGCTCCCTGCCCATTGGGGGGGGGGGGGGTGTCCCCAAAACCCACTACCTTTCAGGAGTGCCCTGGCCGAGTTCCCTTGCTGCAGGAGGTTCTTGCTGCTGGAGGTGACCAAAGCCTTCAGCTCCTCCGCTCTGGAGATGTACTGTCCCACCTGCCCACAGCCAAGGGGGTGAGGGGACCCTTCCCCATGGGGGACAGAGGCTGGGGGGGGGGGCACCTTGCTGAGCTCAGCCAGGTAGGTGCTCCAGTTCCCAGGGAGGTCTGGCTCACCTTGGCTCGGATGGCTTCTTTCCTGCGAGCGTCGGTTTCATCTGGGAGATGGGGGGGCAGAGCAACCAAACACCAGGATGGATGGGCTGCAAACTGGGGGTGCTTCCCCCCCCTCCCCTCCCCAAACACACCCAGCCCCCCAGGGTGGACTCACAGTGCAGAGCTGGCACAAAATACTCCAGGGCTTTGCAGTAAAGGGAGAGGGCAGCAGAGGCGTCTCCCTCCTGATCCTTCTTCACTGCCTCCACCACCAGGTTGGTCTGGGAGGGAGATTGGAGGGTGAGGCTCAGGGCTGGGTCCCCCCCCTGCCCCGCAGGGGGCAGCACCCCAGCACCCTGCTCACCGCCTTGCAGAGGCTCTCAGGGCCAGGGACATGCTCCATATCCACAAAAGGGTGGGCGAAGAAGCGCTCGAAGGAGATGCGCTTCAAAGGGTCCCTTTCCAAGAGCTGTCCTAAGAGATCCCGGCATTCCGGGGAGAGCGGGGGCCGGCTGGGCAGCTGGGAAGGGAAGGGGACCTGAGACCACCAGCCCTGGAACGGGCTAGAACATCCCACCCAGCTCCATCCCACCCCACTTTACCTCCACAGCCCGGTCGCTGCGGATCTTCTCCTCCAGCTCGGCGAAGGAGCGGGAGGCGAAGGGGGGTCTCCCAAAAAGTGCTTCTGTGGAGGGGGAAAGGGAGCAGTG